CCGGCCCGGCGCCCCGCTCCCGCACCCCGGGAACCCCGGCCCGGCGCGGCCGGCGGACCCCCGAGCCCCGGGCGGCCGGCTCCCCGAGGGCAGGCCCGTTTCTGTCGACTCATCAGGCGCCGAGCGCTCGCCGCCACAGGCCCCCGCAGCCCGCCCCGACCGACGGCACGGGAAGCTCCCGCCGGGGCGCGCTCGGCCGCCTCCTCCCAGGCCCGCGCGAAGGCAGGCGCCCGGGGGAGAGGGACGCCCCCCGCCTCGGGGCGGCGCGCACCACCGGCCCCCCCCCGCCCCTACCCTCCGAGCTCACACAAATGACGGAAAGGAAGCTGGGACCTTCGCCTCCGCCTCAGTCTAGATGTCGCCATCGCGGCGCGAAGTTCCCCCACAACGACACCTCGACGGCGGCCATCTTGCCCAGGGGCGGCCGACGCCTTTTGACTCTCGCGCCAACCCGTAGAGCGAGGGCGCCGCGAGCGGAGTTCTGCGCAAGGACGGAAGCTGGAGTCCCGCGCTTCCGGGCGGCCGCCGCGTCCCGCCCCCTCGAGGGAGCTCTTGATTGGCTGCCGCTTCGTGAGCCTGCGCTCTCGCGATCTCGCGGGAGGTGCCTGAAGGGGCGGCCGTCGGTGCGTCTGCCCTCCCGTTCCCCGCCCCCGCCCCCGCCTCCGCCGCGGCTCCCGCCTCCGCCTCCTGTCCCCCCGCGCCTCGCCTCCCTCCGGGCTCGGCCCGGCCCCCCCCCCCCCGAGCGGCCGCGGAGACCGCGCAGCGCGGGAGGCGGGATCCGCACGGTAAGATGGCCGCGGCGGACCCAGGCGGCCGGGCTGAGCCTCCCCGCGGGAGCGGCGGCGGGCCGGGGTGGAGCGGGGCGGGGGCCCGGTGGAAGCCGGGGAGGAGGGCGGGGAGGGGCCCGGGAGGGGGCCGGCGCTGGGGGCCTGACGGGGTGCGAGGTCCGAGCAGGTGGCCGAGCCGGGGCCTTCTGGGTCTGCACGTCAAGCTGCCCCCTTTCTCCCGGCCAGGGAGGGCTCCGGACCGCACAGCGCCTGGGCGCTGCAGTTCGGTGTTTCCTCTTAAGGGGCGAGCGTTTCGAGGGGAGGCTCCGACGTTCAGAAGCGGTCGCGCACGACTGTCGATAATTCCGCGAAACACCGCTCCTGTGCGCCTGCGGAGGGAACGATTTTTATGACAGCCGCGTCAGAGCGGACGCGGACCTGGTGAGGACGTACACGCCGCCAGGAAAGCAAGTGTCGCTCGTCTTTAGACTTGCGAGGCTTACTTAGGTTGTTGAATGTTTACCTGCTGCGTTCTTCCTGCACGAGGTAGAACGGGTCGTTGCTGTCCAAAGTCGCTCTCGCGGCAGTGGTCCTGGTGTGATGGGGGGTCGCTTCGGGGGAACCGAGGGAGAGGCGCCTCGTTTGCCTTAGGTTACCTTGACGGTGGTCTGAGTGAAGTCTGCCCTTGCCTGGAGCTACAGGACGTGGGCGTCTGTGCGAGGAAGACCACCCCGCCCGTCTCACCTGCTGCCTTCCTCTGTCGCTGCTGAGTGTCGGTCGGCTCGCTCTGAGCGCTTGAGGGCTTTGTCTCGTGCCTTTGCTTTCCTTCCCACGCTGTCTCCCTGGGCGATCTTCGCCCATTCCTGGCCTTCGATATCCTTGTTTGGCGGATGTCTCCCTAATTAACGTTTCTAGCGCTGAGCTCGGGACCTATAATCCAGGTGCCTGCTTGACTTCTCCAGCTGCCTGAGAGTCAGCCCAGACTTGCCCTACTCCTCAAACCTGTTCGAGCCTTCCTCTTCCTCTGTGGCCCTCTCCTCCGAGGTATCAAGCTTGAAAGCTTCGGCCGGCCTCAAGGGCTCCTGATTTTTCTTTTTTTAATCCCTCTATGTTGAGTCCAGCTGCAAAGCCATTGACTTGCGTCCACAGAACCTTCACCAGCTGTGTCTCTGACTTTCGTGGCACTGCTCCTATTGGGTGGCTCCTTGTTGGCTTTCCTGCTCAGCACTCACCACCCCACTTCCACTGTTGAAGTTTTCAACTTAGCGAAGCAATTTAGCATACACTTTGCTGGCATGAAGTAGTATCCCCAACCTACAGGTTACTTATAAAGAATAGGAAGTAGTAGGCAGTAGGTAGTGGTGGACTCACCACCCACCTTAAGAGCCCAGCTGGTGCTCCCAGGGCCTGCACCTGTCCGCCCTGCCTTCCCATAGTAACCACCTCTTGAGCATCAGGTCTTTGCTTAAAACAACAAAACACTGCATGTTCGTGTTTATTGCTGTTTTTGTTCTTTGCAAAATTCTGCCACGCTTGGGCCTCTGCTGCAACTCACTTTATCCACCCAGCTGGTTTGTAAGAGTCATCCACGTGGCTTTGCTCATATTTTAACTGTTTTAGTAAATTCTCTTACGCGACCACATGATCAGAATCCTTTCTCAGCAATTCTGAAGTCCAAATAGCTCTGAAAACCAAAAGTTTGTGTGTGTGTGTTTTAACTATTTGATGGCAAAAATCTGACTTGGTGAAAGCTTTTGATAACTTCTATTTCACTCAGTGTGGGTACTCAGACCTTTCCCCAAAGAAGTAATATTTAACGTGGGGTGCTGCCCCAGACTGCAGTGAGGATGTCGTGTGATGCAGGTAAGATTGTGCTATATAGGCTTTATACGGTCTGCCAAACTTTTAATTCTGAAACATACCTGCCTAAGGGTTTTGGGCCTGGGATTGTGGTTCTGTGAACCACAGTCTGTCCATTGAATGAACAGCTGCTATTGAATGAACATCTGGGTGGGGGGTCCCATGTTTTTGCCATTTTGAGCAGTATTTCTGTGAGTGGGCTCATACATGTCTGGTGCTCAGTGGTGAGTGTTGAGGGTCTCAGTCTTGTGGTAGGGTTGTTGGGCTTCGAGGAGCACGTGCCAGCTGTGCGGAGAAGGCCAAATATGTTTGCGGTTCCAGTCTGCTCTGGCAGCAGCATCAGAGAATGCAAGGGAACGCTCTGGCTTTGTCGACAGTCGGTATTGTCAGACTCCTTAGCGTTGGTCGGTCTGGTGAGTGTCTGGCAGCGGACTTCTCACGGGCACTGTGTCAGAGTGCACGCCTCCTCAGCTCCTGCTCCTCGCAGCTGCCCTTTGTGCCTAGAAGAGAATTGACCTAAAATCCTCCCTCAGCCTGTAAGGCCTTACTCAGTATGATACGCCCCACCTCCTGACCTGGCAGTTCGGAGGCTCTTGGCTCTTCCTTGCACACATCCTGTCTCCTAACATCCCAGCCTCCTTTCTGGTCCCTAAGCTGCCTTTGGGTGTTAGGTCCTTTGCACTTGCTGTTCTCCAGATTTAAATCTTCCCATTCTCTGTTACTTCATACTGTGTCGCTGTGTTTATCTCTGAAATGATCACAGTTGTTATAGAATTCTTAAAAATTCTTTTTTTTTTTTAACTGAAATGTAGTTGAGAGCCAGTGTTAGGTTAGTTTCTCGCGTATAATGTTGGGATTTGACAACTGTCTGGGTTGGGCTGTGCTCACAGGTATAGCCACCCTCTGTCACCATCCAGCCCTATTGCAGTGCCACTGAATGTGTTTCCTATCCCGTACCTTTCATTCCTTTGATCTTCACTAATCTTTAAAATATTTTTTTTTCTTGTAGAAATAAGTCAGAATGAGTTATGCAGAAAAACCTGATGAAATCACAAAAGATGAGTGGATGGAGAAACTCAATAACTTGCATGTCCAGCGGGCGGACATGAACCGCCTCATTATGAACTACCTGGTCACAGGTAAGGGCTCGCAATGAGGACGCTGCCTGTGGGATGCAACTCTGCCTTTTTGTACACACAATCAGCACTTTACCATCGAAGTTCCTTGGGAAAGTGAAGTTGTGTTTGGGCGTTGTAGAAAACACCATGCTAATTTAATAACTTTGTGGATTACCAGAGTAAAGTTAAGGTCTTCTGGAGATGAGATTGGTGTTACAGGTGCCTGAGCTCTAAGGCAAAAACCTGTTCCTTGATCTTTGACATTTTTACAGTTAAGATAATTAAGAATGTTCTACAGTACGTTGAAGGTCCCTAGTAACTGATCTCTTCTGGCCAGTCTGGTAAATTATACAGGACTGTTTGTAGAAGGTGCACCTAACTCAAAAGAGAAAGGGGGAAGGGCAGAAGCATACAGAAGCAAAGAAACGGGGTCTGTAACTGACAGTTCTTCTTGATATTGGGAAGGAAAAGGGTAATTCTGTACATGATCAGAAAATCCAGTTGTTTCAAACAGGTATGAGTCTCCTTCCCCTTGTTCACAGTACTCCTCTGCACCAAATTAGTCAACCTTTGTTTGAAAGGCGATGAGGAAGTGTCTGCCTATAGCAGGCAGGGGTGGGGGCGGGGGGCGGGGACGCACACATGCAACTTGGACGTTGAGGAGAACTGTGGGCTCACGAAGAGGCAGGAGTGGCCAGGTCCCTGCAGGCCGTGAAGGCATAGCCAGTGTGTCCAGACACGCCTGGAGCATACCTGCAGCTTCCTTGCATCTGGGCCTGGCACCGCAGCCCTCTTTAAGGAGCCCCTAATGCACAGGGCCTCGTGACATTCATTTTCACCCCTGGCTGGTAGGTGAGAGCTTTTTTGGATGGGATGGGAAGGAGCGAAACACATTCTTTTCATTTTCTGTATGGGGCGTACTAGTAAGTCACAGATGTTAATACCAAATCCCTAAGAAAGTGCGGGTCATGTTGAAGGTTATTTATTTGAGATGAATGGGCTTTGTAGGGATAAAAATGCTTTGCGTTAATATCTTGCTAGCTTTCCGAGCACTGAAGATGGTTGTTATTTACAGAGGGCTTTAAGGAAGCAGCAGAGAAGTTTCGAATGGAATCTGGGATTGAACCTAGTGTGGATCTAGAAACACTTGATGAGCGGATTAAAATCCGTGAGATGATTCTGAAAGGCCAGATCCAGGAGGCTATTGCATTGATCAACAGTCTCCACCCAGAGCTCCTGGACACAAACCGGTACCTTTACTTCCACCTGCAAGTGAGTTCCCATTGAGAGGCACCTGGTTTGTGGATACTCCACAAGGTTACATGTGGCGATTTCAGAAGGCACAAGGCCAGCTGGCATTAATAGAGTATGGTTTTAGTTTGCGTGGGGAAGGGGTTTCATTTATCTGTTGTCTTTCGTATTTCAGAAGCTGTTCTTGGTTTAAAAATGCCAATTTAGGGGCACCTGGGTGGCTCAGTTGCTTAGGCAGCCAACCTTGAGACCTTGATTTCGGCTCAGGTCATGATCTCAGGGTTGTGAGGTTGGGCTCTGCTTGCTTCTCTCTTCCTCTCCCTCTGCTGCTCCCCCGCTTGTGTGTTTTCTGTCTTTTTCTCAAATAAATAAAGTTTAATTAAAAAATGCTATTTTAATAATTCAGGGATGCTAGGAAGTTGTCCTTTAAGATGTCCTTTGACTAGAAAGTAGTGTTGCGCTACCGGGCGTTGCGTGCCCGGGCGTGGGTGTGTAAGCTTGTCTGCCTTTGCCGGTGACCAGCAACAGCACCTCATAGAGCTGATCCGCCAGCGTGAGACCGAGGCGGCGCTGGAGTTCGCGCAGACCCAGCTGGCAGAGCAAGGTGAGGAGAGCAGGGAGTGCCTGACGGAGATGGAGCGCACTCTGGCCCTGCTGGCCTTTGATAACCCTGAGGAGTCGCCTTTTGGAGACCTGCTTCATATGATGCAGAGGCAGAAGGTAAGATTGCCAAGGGGGTCCTCCTTCCCCTCCATGGGTGTTCAGGGTGCGGCTCAGGAACCACAGCGTGGCCATGTCTGGGCGAGTGATGCTCGGTCACAACAGCATCTATTCTTCCCTGATGTGGAATCTTTCACCGTGTGAAGCCAGGAACGGAGCGTTGTGACTTATTTTACGATTTTCAGACCTCTTTGTCAGCTTCTCCTGTATCTTAATCTTTCTCTGTTTGGAGACTCTTAGAAATAGGTGTCCTAAACGTTTTTATTTTAAATCCCTTATTTGCGTGTGAATCTCTTCACGTCCTTGCTGGTACTTGTGTGCTGCAGTCCCCAAGCCGGCCCGTGATCCCCCCCCAGAGGCAGCGCCCTTTCCTGGCGGAGGGGCTGCCACTCTGCAGGCCTGCTGCAGGTGTCCCTCGAGGCTGGGTCCGGTGGAACACAGGTCACACCCGCCCCGGCCTTCTCTCTCTTCCCGTCCGGTACCCCGCCCTCCCCCCCGCCACCCTGAGCCTGGCTTGTGGCATTTTACGGCTCTCCAGGCCAGATAGGAGCGTTGCTGACTGGACCATGTGCTCCTTCTGGGCGAGAAACGTGTGTTTAACATCTGCTGGTGTGCCTCCTGGTGACGGGCTTCATGTTCGTCTAAATAAATAATGAGTTCATCATGTAAAAACGGCTTCCAAGAGGCATAAAAAGCACGTGGTAACAGACTCTCGCTGGTGCTCTGCGTGTGTGGTGTTTTTTATTGGATGTATTTATTTTCTAGGTGTGGAGTGAGGTTAACCAAGCTGTACTAGATTATGAAAATCGTGAGTCAACACCCAAGCTGGCAAAATTACTGAAACTCCTCCTTTGGGCTCAGAATGAGCTGGACCAGAAGAAAGTAAAATATCCCAAAATGACAGACCTGAGCAAAGGTGTGATCGAGGAGCCCAAGTAGAGTCTGTGCCCGCAGCCCCGTGCTTCCCCGGCTCGGACTCCTCGGAGCAGCTGTCTGGGACTGAAACGTTTTTACTGCAGTAGAGAACTCTACCCTCCCCCACCTTTGTTTTTTGACCCGGCATCTTTTTTAAAGGGAAAAATGGCCCTTTTGAGCGCTGGAAAACTTGCAATGAATGACGCTGTCTCTTTGGAAGTGTGATGCAGACTGCTCGGGGTGTGCTCTGAAGGCGTGGATGGGCCGCGCTCCTGCTGTTGGGCTCCTGCAGGATCGCACCCGCCACGGAGTGCGCGGTTATGAGGGCATATTGTTAAACTGAGGCCTCCCATTCAAATCTACGAAAAGCACTGATCGTTATTTTGCTTTCTGTTAGCTTGTAGGCAGAACATACGTTTTCTCAGATCTCCTAAGACTCGTCAGGCCTTTGTGCAGAAGTTTTTTCTTACCCCTTGGTTTTTTGTTTTTGTTTTTTCATAGGAAAGACTATATAAATTTGTAAATCCTAATTCAAAGACTTCTTTTGTGTGAGGGCATTGAGTTTGATTTGTTTTCCCTTTTGGTCTGGGTTGTGTGGCTTTTGGGGAGATGTGTGCGTGAGGGGTGGGGCTGTGTGTTTTTTAATTTTTTAAATATATATTTTGGTGCTGGTTGTGGTGAGAGACTCTTTCCTAGTGGATCAATGAACCTTCTCTTCTAGGCAGTTTTGTTGAAAATAAAGGTTTCTCTTTGATCTCAAGAATGACCAAAATGGCCTCTAAAAAGTTTTAATCATCTCAAACAAACCTGTTGCTTTCAAACCTGTTGCTTTCGGGGCTTATGTCCTGGTGGTGATGGCAGTGGCATCAGCTCATCCCTGCGGCCGGAGGGCCCCTTGGCCTGGTGTGGCCCGCGTGCTTGGAAGCAGATGCGGCGGGGGGAGGGAGCGCCGTGCTGCCGGCTGCTGTACCTGGGCCGCAGGTTCCCTGGCTGGGAGTGCGTGCTTGCCTCAGGAGGCTGGCACCACAGGTTGGTGTGTGCTCGCTGTCTCGTGGTGGTCGTGAGTTCCCAGGCATCCTCATTCTGCACTTTCCCAGGTCCCGCCACTGGTGCAGGTACTGGGATGCAGGTGCCCCTGTGACTCGGAGTGCCAACACGTGTGTGTGGACTCACTGCAGGTGCCACTGGGCACAGGTTCTGTAGGGCGACGGTTACAGAGCCAAGTCTCGTGGTGGTGACGGTGTCCGGGAGCGCACATCCTCTGGTGGGAGCTCCCAGCTGCTGCGGTGGCTGGGACTCTGTCCTCCCTGGGTGGATCCCGGTGCCAGGACGGAGTCTGGCACCTGGGGCTTCGTGGAGGCAGATACCAATGGCAGCCGAATTGCAGGGAGCATGTTCCCGCGTCAGGCAGGGTTGGGCAGGCTTGTGGCCATGCCCGTAGGTCAGGTGGTGTGCGTCTGCTTGCTGGGCCCTGTCCCCACCTGCCTGTAGACCTGGGCGGCATCGTGAAGGGCTGTCATGTCAGCTCTTCTCTCACTCCCCGTCTGCTTTCCACCTGCACTCTGGGAGCAGTGGTTTTCTCCAGTGGGCAGGAGCCTGGGGCAGGGTCGGCTGCCCTGGGTGATCACCGATGCAGAGGCAAGGTGGTGCAGGCCCTGGGGGCTGTCTGGCCTCTGACTGCCATTCTGCTGCCCTTGTGGTTTTGTGAGGATGAAAGGCGGGGGGCGGGGAGGGGGTCTTCTTGACGCCCAGGAGCGGACGTGTTTCCGCTCTGACCGGCTCAGCAGTCCTCTCCAAATGTGACCTTTCTTTGGGGCCATTTCCTCTGAGACTTGGGGGTATTAAGAGCAGAAGGTTTTAGTCTTCAGGTAGTTAATCGTCACACAGAGCAGAAGATGGAAGAGAAAATACCAGCAGAGAGGTGTGGGTAAACCTACATGTTTGTAAAGCACCAGAGAATTCAGCATGTTTCTAGTCAGCTTTTGTTACTCGTGTATATAAGATCATTTACGTGCATAATTAATATATAATCACCCTGACACGTTTTTCACATTAGAGGGTGTCAGATGCGTAGTGACGGGAAGTTCTGTATGTGGGAGCCACCCATGAGCCATCAGGGCCCGGACGGGGTTTGTCACGTGCAGGAAATGTGAGCAGCTGTAGGACGGAGTGCTGGTGCACGTCCACCTGTTGGGGCCGTGAGTGACGTCACAGGCCGGTGCTGCCGCTAGTGGGAGCCACGTGTGGTCTGATGGGGACTCTCAGCTGTGCTCCTGTTGTCCTTGCTTCTGTCTGCGGCCTGGGTTTGGGGTTACACCTCCTGCGCTGTCCCTGTCTGGGGACCTCCTTCAGCAGGAGTGGCTTTGTGGACTTTTCCTGTTTGCCACCTTTTTGCAGTCTCTGTGTCTTCAGCCGGCAAACTAAATTAAGCCATTTTGAGATAATGAACATTAAGTATAATTTGATTTTTCTTTGTCTCCTTTGGATCTTGCCGTTGTGTTTATTAAAATGTAATGTTTTACATAGATTATTCTTTTTACATTTTCTTGTGGAAAGTGCCTTGAAATAAATAAAATTTGAGACTATTCTGGTACTCTATGTTCCTGATATCATGAAGTTGTGTGAGGAATAACCCCTAATTTGGAATCTTTACGCAGCATAGGGATTATTGCAAATCCAACAAGAGCTAATATATTTTGCCATGTGAATTAAGGTTTCCAGGGTCTAGAAAAGGCAGATGTGTTTTGGGACTGGTCTTTGGGATGGACTGAAGGCCCCGTGTGTGAGTCCTTGGGGACAAGGAGGTGGCTCTTCCCTGCAGTCAGGATGCCTCTTCCAAGGGCAGTCTTTGTCAGGCAGGGTGAGGTCTGTTTCCTTGGACAGTGTTACTTTGGGGGAGGGGTGGAGCCAGGGGTTTCAGAAAGAACTGTGTACATTTTGTGTTAAAGGCAATGGTGTTTTTGGGGTAATGGGGCAGGACCCGCTTCTGGGAGTTAACGTGGAGTCCCAGCAGGAGCAGAAGGCCAGACCGAAACCATCAGGGCGGCTGCCTGCCAGCCGCCGGAGACACTGAGCCGTGCACAGTAGGACATCGGGGGCCAGGCTGCGCAGCCTTAGAAGCCCTATGGTGCAGCATTTTGATAGGTTATTCTGACACCACGTGCTTTGTTTTTACAGCGGGTATGTTTCTGTTTCAGAAATGCGTTGCTTTTTCAGATTTAAGAGTAAATTGTATTGTCCGCATTGGTCATGTGACTTTCGTATGAGCCTCTTTGCACCCCTGGTTCCGAGTCGGCTTTGTTCCTGAGGGCATGTGTGCCCGCCACAGCATCTTCTGAAAAATGCAGAGTAGGTTGCTTTTGCTGTCTGTTCCTAATTTCATAGTACAACTTTTATGTTTTTCTCAGAGGGGTTATCTGGAAGGTCTTTTGTATTTTTCCCTGTAAAGATATTCTAATAAGAATAAAGTATTCAATATGATACACATTCCGTTGGAAGCCCATCTGTGAGAACTGGCGGAAGGAAACATAGTCTCACGCATCTTTATGCTCTGCTGCTCTTCTGTTCCCTCTGACCAGCCCCGTCCGGTGTCGCGTGTGCACCTCTGAAATCTGTCATCTGTTCTCTAGAGCTGTGGCCCTGAACTTTCATTTTGGTGAGGAAAATAGATTGGGGCCACCTGCTGCATGATTTTAACCTGAAAAGTTATTTTTTTTTAATACTTATGAATATGTCCAGACTTTGAAAGTAGAGGGGCTGCTGTAGTGCGCGCCAGGCCCTTCTCCCCGTAGGCTTGTGCCCTGGCCAGCCGGGGCCGTTAGCGCCTCGTGTGAAGGGCAGTTGTGGGACACGTGAAGGAGACTTGGAGTGACAGCTTTCCAGTGCCTTCTAGTGAGTGCGGAAGTGAGGGTGCCTCGTGCTGGAGCAGCGGCATCACGGGCTGTAGCCCCCACAGGTGTGTGGACACTGGAGAGGGGGAGGAAGCCCCCTGGCACTCTTCCCCAGGCAGTGACGGCATCTAAGCACTTCTTCACGCCAGCGCATCCCTCCTTGGAGGAGGCAGTGTGGCAGTTCGTGGGGATGTCCCCACGCAGAGCACTTGGCACGTGGCTTTGCACTCAACACCATCTGAGGTGTTTGGCTGGGACCACAGTCCCCAGTGCGTGAGGACTGCCTGTCTTGGATGTTGTGCCTTAATTCCAAGATGCCATGGAGACGCTTTCATTCTCATCATGACTGACTGCCGTAGATGTGAAGACAGGGTTTGATGGGCCTTTGGTGTCTGTGGCTGAGCTGCTCTGCCTCTGCAGGACACCAGGCCCCGGCTCCAGCAGCCTGAGGTCCTTGGGGGTGGGGGGGGGGCGGTCTGGGTGAGCTGGTTGTCCTATGGCTGCACCTGCGGGGCAGAGGTCTTTCTCGTTGCAGGGAGCATGTGGTAGGGCTGAGACTCCTGCACGTAGGGAAGTCTCCCAGCTGGAAGGCCAGGTGGATGGGTCTGTTCTGACCGTGGCACAGAAGAATGTCTGTCGGACTCCTCTATACTCAGCTCCAACCAAAATCATTGGCAGAAGGAGCGAGAGGTGGGGGCAGTGGATTTATCTGCACGTACCTTCCCACCTGGCTGCACTCTGAAGCAGGTCATACTGCAGGCCCCCTGCCCGGCTGTGTACGCGGCACAGGCAGGCGGGCGTGCTACGCTGTGCGCCGTACCGGAGCCGGGGGATGAGGAGGCGAGCCTACAGGGACTGCTGGACTCAGGTGTCGGAGCACTGCCTGCCCGGGGCTTCTCCCCCTGCCGTGCGGCCAGACTCCTCCTGCAGGCCGGGTCTCCTCTGCTGCAGACCGAGGTGTCACGCAACTGGCATTCTCCCAACTGGCTTTTGAAAGTGAAGCAAGCCTGAGGATCATCGAGAACTCCCAAGAACTCCCGGCTGGGTGGCAGGGGTCCCCGGGGGGCGGGGTCGGGGGGGCAGCAGAAGCACACAGACCCAGGGGGAGGGGGCAGTGCTGGTCCCTGCGTGGCTCCAGACTCATGGGCCCAGCGAGTCCTTAATCTCTGGGTGTCCAGGCGTATTTTTAGTGTGAAACAGACGTTGAACAGCAGTGTTTTCAAGACTCAAATAGTGAACTCACCAGCACTTTGAAAAGAATGAACTGTTCCAGAACCTTCAGGAATTCCACATGTAGAACCGATATTGCATTAAATCATTTATTATCATAAAGCTCATCTTTCTGGTTTCCAGTGAAATCCTACATAGTTCATTGCTCCTCTTCCATTGAGTTATTAATTCTGTTCAAGAGATGGATTGGTCCCTCCCTTCGTTCCTGTGCACATGGCGGGGGGGCACAGGGGAGACCCTGCCGGTCGGCTCCATCCCCCTGGGGCTGGCTCTGCAGGCTGGGGAAGGTGGGAATCAGCCCTGTGGCTGGAGGGTGGGGACGGCGGGCCCTGTGCTGTGGGGATATAACAGGTTTGGTTCTAAGGGCAGTGAGAAGCCTTGGGAAGGTTGGCCAGGCTGCTGCGAGGTTGGTGGACTGAGGCCGGGGGCGGGGCGCAGGGAAGTGCAGTGTGCCCAGGAGTCCACTCCTTATCACTGGGTCCCAGCACGCCCACTGCTCTACACTGCTCTCCGTGCTGGCTGTGTCCTTCGTGTGGACACGTGAAGCCCCCCACGAGTGAGGGGACCTGGCTTGGGGCCTGGCAGAGCCTGCGTGCTCCGTACAGCTTTGTGGGGAGCACCCGCCCCTTCCACAGCCACCTGCGGCGCAGACGCGGCCCCCTCGGCCTCCCAGTGCAGGCTGGCTCAGGGTGACAGGGCTGGAGCCCACCTCCAAAGATTCATCTTAAAAGTTGCCTCCCCTTGGCTCTTCCTGCCCTTGCACTCTCACTGTTCCCAGTGCTGGTAGCCCTGTGATCGGGGCGGGGCTGGGGGGGAGCCACCACCATCCCCCAATTCACGGGCACGTGTCCGAGGTCAAAGTCAAAGGCCCTGGGCCAGGGCACCCAGGACCACCTGGCTCGGCCCCTCCACAGCCCCTCCACAGTCAGGTCTGTCCAGCCTGCAGCAGGTAACCCCGCGCCCTCCCCGCCTACGCCAGTGGCCCTAGGCAGCCCCAGGAGCAGCAGGGAGGTGGACCCTGACAGCCGCCCGCAGAGCGCAGGGGGCGGGAACCAAGTGGTGTGCCCCGCCCCACCCGCCCGCCCTCCGCGGTGGCCGTCCGGGGGCGACACGTCCTAGGAGCGCCAGACGGAAGCGCCGCTGGGACTGACACGTGGCCTTGGGCGGTGCTGCCTGTGTGGGTCAGCCAGGCAGGAGCCGGACCTGGACGCTCCGCGCCCACGGACGGCCGCCCCCCATGCAGCCGCTGCCGCCGCCGCCAGAGGAAACCCGCAGGGACGGGGCCGAGGACGCCCAGTGGTCCAGGTGGGGCCAAGGTGTGGGATGGGGCGGTGGCTTGGGGAGGGGGCGAGGCCACCATCCCTCCACCTGGGGTTGCGCGCTTCCCTAGCAGTCAGCGCACAAGTACCCAGACCCAACCCAGGACCCTCCTCCCTTCCGTCCAGTCCCAGGGCCTGCGAGTGCCACTTGAGCCCTCTCCAGGACCTCCAGGGTCCTGGGATTGTGCAGGCAGGAGGTATCCCAGGATGTCTGCCTGGGGGTGGGGGGCATCATCCCGGGTGGTGGAGAGGTTGCTCACAGGCACAGCTGTGAGTCCTAGAACTGACCCCTGCCAGGTAGGACCCCACGAATTTCCAGACCTGAGGGCAAGGAGGAGCCATACAGGGTCACCTGACAGGGAGCCCGTTGGAGGTAGGGGGAGTGCTGAGTCCTGCCCCCACCTGCCAGCTGTGTGTGTGGACAGGTCTCCATGGGCGGGGCCTAGGCAGATCGCCCACTCCTTTTTATACTCTGTGTCCACGTCCACTGCCACATGCAGAAGTCCCCAGGGCAGGGACACACAGCAACCAAGAATGAGGTAGGACTGTCTGAGGAGTTCCCAGACCACCGTGCCTCCGCCCTTGCCTACCTTCAGCCAAGCCAGCTGGACCCTGGATCCAAGTCGGGCCCTAGGATCCCCGGGCCAGTCCACCAGCTCCGAAAGCCCGGGGAGCCCACTCCCTGCAGGCGACGGCTGGTTCCTGCCCCTGCGTCCAGGCACAGGCTTGCAGGAAACTCCTAATGGGCGGCTCCCCCCCCCCCAGGCTGGGGCAAAATGAGGGCAAAGCTAGTGGGAAAGATGGAGAGAGGCTGACATTCCAAAGTAGCCCTCAGAAGCCGGAAATTTCCTGTAGGACAGGGTGCGGGGAGTGGGGCGTCTCCTTGCCAGGCATCACTGGGATAGGACTCTGCTCTAGGGCACGGCCGGGTCCAGGAGTGCCCTGCGGCCTGCCTTGCTCCCGTCTTCCCTCCTCGCCGTCCCGATTATTGAGGTGCTGATCCAGGTGGTAGGCCAGGCTCCACGGCCCTGTGGGCAGAGGGTTGTGGCCCCAGGGCTATGGAATGTTCTGCAGACTTCCCTCTCAGGTTCTGTTTCAATGGCTCTGGCTGGCCCTGCTTTAACTTCTTCCCTCTGTGCTTGGCTCAGGAAGGAGCACCCGCAGCTCCCCAGGCCCTTGGCAGGTGAGGTCGCCCCAGCTCCAGAGGTCTGTGGGGTCCTGAGTGGAGCTGGGCTCAGCTGGGACAAGGCTGACCCCACCCCTGGGTGGACAGTCATATCAGTCACAGTGAGCGTGGTGGTTTATTGCAGCCAACGCGGCGTGCCCTCTGCATCGACAACCACACGTCTGCTCTCGTGGTCCCGGGAGGCAGGGCCGCCACTCCTCAGCCGCATCTGTGGGGTGGGGGCAGCCAGTGGCCTTGGACCTGTGTGTTCTCTCCTGGCCTGGAGCGCCGGCACATTTCCCTTTTCTGAATGGAGGGGCACGTGACCACACATTTGCTCAGCCATGGATGCTTCTCATGCACAGGGCCATTGGCAGGAAGCAGAAGGTTCTAGAAGGTTCACAGGAAGCATTCTGATGAGCTGGGGGCACAGACCTGAGGCTCAGGACTAGTCAAAGTGAGCAGGATGAAGCCTTCCTGGCCCATCCTGCTGTAGCCTGTGTTCCCAAGCAGCCCTCCGTGGGATGGAGGAGTCTGGGGCTGGCGTGCTAACCAGCCCTTGGGCAGCTGTCTGTGTTGGGTCCCCGCCTGCAGCCAGACTTCCTCGTTCTGTGTCCCCACCAGCTGTAGAGGAAGTCACTTGGCCTGCCTAGCTGGCAATGCCCGCCAGCTCAGGACCTGGGGGGCCTCTGGGGCCCAGGAGGAGGCACACAGCACCTGGCCCCACACAGGCTCAGAGCAGACTGGTTGCCTGCACGCTGAGGGGCCTGCCTTGGTGTCCTGTGGTCATAAGGAGGCCAAGGGGCAGCACCGTATTCTAGGTACCGGCCAACCTTCCAGAGCAGGTCAGCCTCAGCTGGCCTTCCAGTGTTTCTGACTGGA